AAAAAAAAAAACCGAACACACGATCGGTGCATCTGCATGTGAACTGTCCGAGAATCGAACTGCGCAGCGTAACATCGATCTCGTAAACTCTTCTCTTGATACATTAGGCAAAAACTAGTCTTGAATTCCAGCTTTGACTATTCTTAGGAAAATGCTGGACAAAATGTGTTTCCATTGACGAGACTCTTTCCTTTCCAAGATAAGCTTTTTCAAAAAAATTGCAAGACTATACATAGAAAAAAAAAAAAGAAAGAAAAAAATTGGAAAAATATGAGTTCGTTTATAAAATTTAAGATAACAGACTAGAAGGCAAAAGTGTAATATTTTTATGAAAAGTCTTTTTTACGCTTCGCTGTGTACGTTGAATATTGGAGCACGGGGTTGCAACAATGTGCAACATAATGCATATGCGTATTCTGAAAAAGGAACATGTTAACCGACGCCAGTCCTCGGAAGAATCGTACAATCGCGAAATTGCAATTTCAGGCGACCCTTGTCAGTCGTCATATGGGAGATAATTTTCCTAGACGTTTTGTGCTTGAAACGTGAGCGTACATATATGTAAGTACTTACATGACAACCGACTCTCGCATAATTGTCGATTATCGATCTCGCGTGGCGTACGTACGAAATGACAGAAAGGGTTACATATCTCTTGCAACGTATACAGTCACCGTGAAAAGTATACAAAATAAAAAGAACCACCCTTTTTTTTCCATTTTGTCATTCATTCAATATGGGACTTCTTCATCTGAACGTATTCTCAACTTTGTTCAAAAAAAATCCTAAGCGATGGAGATTTCTTTTCGTTATTTCTACGAAATGAAGATCACACTTTTTAATTTACTAAATTTGAAAAATTTACCAATGTGCAAAGTTAGCATGAATTTTTAATGAATGCATCGTTATGCATCATTATTACGGAATAAAAGTAACATCAGCCCACGATTCTGAACATGATTTTTCATTAAGATAATTAATTGTAAAATCAAAATTATATCATATCAGTTATGATTATAAAAGGGCAGAATCTCTCGATCAGTTTGTAGCACGTATACTTGAGAGTACAGAGTGAATTGAATTTCGAAGAAACAGTCGATATCGCTTTAGAGGAATGCCTTCGAGATACTTTTATTGTCGATAACATATAACCTTCTATGACATTTATTATCAATAAAAATATGGTACAAAATAAATGTATAAATGTTGTTATTCACATATCTCAAATCTTGTTCTATTCCATCTTCTGCTTTTTCACGTCTCCTATTTCATATCTCACCCCCACACCCAGTATCTCTGGGACGCATATTTCTTTTAACAATACATACAATATATTTCACTTTTATTCTTCATTTAATATCAAAGTTAAATATTGTCAAAAATGCCTACAAATATGTGGCTTTTGTGGGCTGTGAGATTCATTTTGTGGGATAAAAAATTGCAGGCTGGTCCACAAATTAACTTCGTCGAGTATTTGTAGGCTTTTCTTTATGATCCAATTGAAATATGGGATTATCAGAATTATCAGGATGTCTAAAATGAATTGTGGAATATAGGACAGCTGCTGTGGAATTTAAAGAAAGGAATGATGTAAGTTGGAGATTATTAGATTTGGCGAATAGTTATGATAAGTATTGGAAACAGATTGTGATATGTGGATTACAAGAAATGGGAAAATAATGGAATGTACTATATACGACATAGGATCAAGAACATTGGATATGATATGTGGGATGAATTTATGAACTGTGGAAATTTGGATATAAGATATAAATTAGATATACTAGACATAAAATAGGAAATACACAATCGATACGTGATGTATGAAAATGGAATATAGAAGATATCTATGTATAATTTATATACGACTATAGAACACGGAATACGTATAGAGAAAAAGAAAATTACGGAACTGGATATACACGAAATAGGGTGGAAAGTTTAATACATATTATATATATAGGATATAAAAAAAATTCAGATGCAGAACACGAAACGTATTATGTAAATTGCATGATGAAAGGAAGAGTGTGAAACGAGAAGGGGAAAAGACGAAAGGAAGTATTATAATTTCAAACTACAAACACATACTTGCCTAACTGGGTAACTGAATGATTTACCAGAATGAGATAAATCTTCTTCTACAAACTGTTATCATAGGTAGTCAATTGCATTGAAATGTTTCGATAAAAAGTGGAAACGAGCAGAGCACGAAACTTGAGTTTATGAAAACATTTCCAACAATAGACTCGGCGTGGAGTTTGTTTAAGCAAATTGTTCGAACGATAATTTAAATAAACATTCAGTTTGGTAGACGTATTGAGAGATGGCGCCAAGCGTTTAGAACGCAGCAGTGACTTGGTACGTCGACCGAGAGCTGTCGCCACCAACAACTCTCGCTGGCCAACTCTTCCAATTGTACCCCGAGACAATAAATTGTTGTAATTACAATAATCCCGGTGTTTAAATCAATGCTCGGTGTTTACGTGCAGGCGGTCGTGTAACTGGTAATTTTAAATCATTGCCAACGAGCGGTGCTCTCTCGCTGGATCTCTTCCCTCGTTCCACCGTGGTCGGTTTCTCACCGACCGCGATAATTCCCAACGTAATGAACCGGGCCGAACAATGAAACGCACTAGGCTCCCGTGCGTCTAAACGAATCTTCCCAACCGAAGACCTAGATTCGCGATACGACACGACACGACACGACACTACATGACACGACATACGGTCCCATCATCGATAGACTGCTGGTACAGCTTTCTAAACATCGGCTAATTACCCCGTGGGCCAGGCCAGAGAGCGCGCGCAATCCTCGAAGAAGCGTTGCTCGGCAGCAGCAGCAGCAGCAGCAGCCGCCGTAATTAAAAGCCGCGTGCGCTCTGCCGACTGTGTTCCCTCGAACCAGCGACCCATACATCTCCGCGTAAACTTTCCAAATAATTATACCGAGTATTATTTAATTCAAGTAATGACTACCGTGGCGAACCGGCTGCCGCAACAACACTACCGAAACAGAAGAAGTGGTTGCGGAGGCGGAGGAGAGAAGAGAGAGAGAGACGTATCAGAGAGGAGAATTCGTCCTGCAGCTTCTCTTCATATCTCTCTTACACTTTCTTCCTGTACTTTCTTCTCTCTGTCTTTTCGTTCCTCTCTCCTCTGTTTTACTCTCTTCTGCCAACTCTCGTGCCAACGGATAATTCGCACGTACGACGTTTTCACCTTTCCGTGCGCTAGGTAACCGCCGCGCGGCGTCGATTTTTCGCTGAATACCCTCGCGTTTCCGTGAACACCGTAACATCGAGGCATCCAACCACCGAACAACCGACTCCCATCGGCTCGGTTGTATTTTCTGGCGCGCGAGATGTTTCCAGGAGGAGAAGACAGAGGAGAGTACTACCTACTACACGGGGACGAGAGCAGCACTGTGAACCAGGCCCAAGCTGGTTTGCACGTAGCAATTTACGGAAACCGCACGTAACGCGCGTTCCCCGTCAGCCGGAGGAGGCGGAGAGACGAGGAGAAGTCGACACGGAGCGTTTCCACGGAGTGTTACGTAACGGATCGGCGCTAGATCGCCGGCCAGAGTAACTGTATTTTCGAAGAGGAGGTCTCCTCCGTGGCCGAGCAGGCGAAATCACGAAGCAGAAACTTCGCCTGCAGCAGGGACCAGCCGCTCCTCCGCTTCTATTCTATCGTTTTTAGCGTTTCGTAAGGTCAGCCAGGGTTGTTTCGCTCACACATCAGGCCTCGACACCTCGAAAATTCAAGCTTGAAACTCTCTGCACGGAACAGTCGGAACTTATTTTACTGTCAATTTTTCGCACTTATGAAACATTTGAAGACGCAATGGGGAATAATGAAATATAACATCCACTTTGACATTTGGCAGATCACATTATTGGGAAAATTGTTACATTCGAAACTTTAAGTACGTTAAAAAAAGAAAAAAAGAATGAACTTTCGTAAATATTTGTAGCCTAATTAGCAGATGCCACGAGTGTTTAATTAAAAAAGAAAAATTACGACACTTGTAGTAATAAAAATTAAAAGACTCGGGAATTTGTCATACATAAAATTCTTTCTTAAAAATGAATTCTTCTGTCCTTCGAACAGAACTGACGGAAGATACCAGGAAGAAGATGATGGATGTGGTTTTGTTGTAAATACATTGATAACATATCTCTGTTGAGTTTATCTATGTAAATATAGCAGGTGGAAAAAAGTTGTGTATTGATTAGGATAATTGAAGAATTAGTTCCATTGCGAAGGTTTTGAATAAATGATACAATGTTGAACGTAAATGAGGCGTGTGACAAAAATTATTTGTTTCTGCTTGAAGATTGATTAGGTATTTGATACGCGCAGAAGGTTATGTGCTTCAGGTTTGATGTATAATGCATAAATTTCTCTGGAGAACAACTTTAGTTTTTTGTCCAATTCAATGATTAAACTCTGTAATATTCCTGGTACAATTTTTTCAAGGCGATCAAAGTACACAGAAACCAGATAGGCTGAGGTCATTGGTAAGTAATCGATACTAAAACTTCGTACAAAATACTCGTGCATTTCTATCCTCGGTAATGCGACAGCTATAATTTTTCTATCATCTCTCGGTATACATACAGATTACGATTACTTCGTTCCCACTTCGATTCCACTTTGCAATCAATTCAAATGATCGGTAATTATAGCCATATTTTTCTAAGC